TATATGTAAATGATACTGACTTATCATTCCTTTTTTAGGAGATCTTTAATAACCAAAGTCAAATTTATTTAGCATTTGCTTTCATTAGAATTACATATGCAATGGTTTTGTTGTCTATAACCTAGATTACCTTACGACATCTTTCATCCCATGCCATTAACAAACCCAAATAAACACCCCATAATATGCTTGATATGTAGAACAATTTTTGAATTTGACCAAGAAATCGCATTTCCAATTCTTAAAGTGGTCAGGATGGACACTTGAGTTAACTTGTATTTATATCCTTTATAATATATATATAAAAAATTAATTTACCCCTATTCAAAATAAACTCTAGATCCATATTACATTAGCTCAAAAAATGGTTGAGATAAGGTTTAAAACAATTTCTTCATTAGCATGCTTTAGAGCCATATATAGCAAGATATTTTTGGGTGTTTTGTTTTTGTTTTTGATAAACCCAATCTTTTTGTACCAAAAAGAAGTATCCAAATATAACTGCAAGAGATTGATCCTTATATTTAAGTCAAAACAAATCAATGTTCCATCAAATATCAATAATCCTTAGATGGTTACTTCATAATTGATATTATGGCTAATAAATTTCGGGATAAGATAAAAAAAAATAAAGTAAACTACTTTTTACCATTTAATTGATTTTTTTGTATTAATTACCCAATTTTATAAAAATAACATTTCGATGAGTAATGTTTATAATATTATTATTTTATCACTTGATAATTAAAAAATGACAAATCTCTTACTTGACATTCACGTCATCGTATCTTGACCGGATAACTTAACTACTTCCTAAACGAAGGAAATATTAGGTTGTCATCTTACAAGCGGTCTCCCCGGCGTCACAACCATTGAAAGGATTAGGCAATTGTTTTAAATTCTACACCATGTGACACCGGACCACCAACATAAACACACACAATCTTCAATTGTTAATTGCATTCTACTTTTAAATCAAATTAAGAAACTTCCATCGATTGATTTTTCCATTTATACACACACATATATATATAAATACAAAAAAATCAAAGAGTATAAAAATTGTATGACTCACATATTTAGATTGGTTATGGTGGATTCCAATTTGATATATATGTATTTTATTTTCATTTTTGGCCAAAATATGAAAACTTACTTAACTGTGAGCATTCTATTGATTCAAGTGGTTAGATCTTAAAATTTTAATCAAATTGATTGAATTATATCTTAAAATACAAAGAACCGGCATTTACTTATGTTCAGTTCATTTGATCTTAAAATTCTCAAAATCGAACTAATTGAATTTTTTTTTTAAAAAAAAACTATCAAATCAACCAAACTATATCTTAAAACCATAATATTTGAAACTGACTTATGTTAGGTTGATTGGTTGGTTTTACTATCTTTCAATAGTTTATATTATATATGATATTAATTCAAAAACATTAATAATATCTATTATATAAAATAAATATTATATATTTATATTTATATTATATAAAATATATTTTAAAAAATTCATTATTAAAGGTTGATTATCAATACGTTTCTTTGTAAATTTTGAATTAAATATGGATTAAAATAACTAAATAAAATAAATTAAGTAACTAATTAAAACCAAAATTAAACAAATTTAACTAATTTAACTAAATTCAATCAATTCTGATAAATTTATTCGATTGGAACCGATTAACACTCATTCCATACCATGTTAGGATTTAATGGTTTGTTTGAATTCAAAAATAGTCCAAATTGAATGATATTTTTAGATGAATATAATTCAAATTAAATATGAAAATGTAGGAAAATGGTTTAAATTTAATACTGTGTATATAACTAATTATTGAATTTGATATCACAAATAAAGTGACACCAATTCAGTTGACGAAATTACCTAAAAATAATTTAATATTGTATAATGAATATAAAATTAAAATAATTCTGAATTTTTTCATTTCTTGTAAATTACATTAAAAATAAAAAACTACCCATTATTTTAAATAACTAACTTTATTCTTCTCATCCTTTTATGCATATTTCCCTCAACATTAGTTTTTTCTCTTCCACCCTTTATTTCTCATCTATTTTTAAAAGCAACCCCTAAACCCTATAATAATATTTTCAATTTTAAAATTTTAATGAATACTTTTATATATATATATATATATTAAATATTATAATATTATTTTTGTGTGACGAGATTCTTGATGAAACATGGAATCCCATCTCCTTCAACAATGAAAAGAGAAAAACAAAAAGGGCCGGCCCAGTGAGCCGGGTATGGTCAAGGAGTTCGGATCCAAACCCATTTTCCTGGGAAGAAAATCTAGGATATCCCCTTCCTACAAGATTTTGATGACAAAGACAACATGAACATAAATATGGCGACTTAGACCCGAAAACTGAGAACCCAGAGAGAAAGAACAGACAAACAGGAAGTCAAAAGAGGAACCATGAGCGGGCTTGCTTCAGCTTCAACCCCCACTTCTACTTTCCCCTCTATTAAGATTCAAAGGAAGCTTTATATCAATCCATGTAACTCAGTTTTGATTCCAGGCCCTCGGCTATGTTCCTCAGATCTCAATCTTACAAGTTTTAGCTTTGCCGGGGCCAGAGTGCCTCAAAGAAGCAGTATTATCTGCAGAAGTAGCACTGGACCTGGTGCTCCTGGTTCAGGTGTAGTTCCCTTCTCCTTTCTTGCCCTAAATTCCCTTTGTTTCATTTCTATGGTGTTAAAATTTATGGCTGTAATCTCGTTTTAATTCTAGTAATGAAGCTGAAATTTTATCTTGTGGATAAATAGCTGTTGGAAAAGAAGTATGTGTGAGAAATACTAGTACTTACATGATTACAGTTGTGTTCAAGTACTGAACCCTGTGGGGTTAAGGTATAAATTGAGTAATTTCTTGAAAAAGGGTAAATTATGAACCCATTATACACTTTAGCTGCTTTTCCCCTTTTTCTTTCTGTGCAAATGAGTGAGATACTTATTGTTGCAGGTGATAATGAAAGCAGGAATGTGTTGGATGCATTTTTCTTGGGAAAGGCTCTAGCTGAAGCGCTTAATGAGCGAATTGAATCCACAATTGGGGAGTTTTTGGGCGCTGTTGGTAGATTGCAGGCCGAGCAACAAAAACAAGTACTGGACTTTCAGGTAGTTTTAGGTCCTTTGCCTTTTTATTATCAATTTTGCTGGTTATTTCAAGCCTCGTGGAACACCTTACTTACTAATGCATGAACGGGACATGGCAAGGTTTATGAATTTGAGATTTGGGTCTGTACACAGAATAGATTCTGCTGGACCATTAGGTGTGCTTGTGATGCATCGTGTTACAATGACCAAAGGTGGTTGTTGCATCTCTTACAAATAGAACCTTACTGGAAAAGTTGATGGTAATTTTTGAAGGGATTAAAACAAGAAGATTTAATTGCTTTCCTTTTCTTTCTCATGTTTTGGACAACTGTACTTGTAAGCCCTGCGACTTTGCAAGCCTTGTTTTCTGCAAATCAAAAATAGATTTGAGTAATGATAGCTTCATTCTTCTCCCAGTTGCACATTTTGTTTAAAATGCTTTCTTATGTTAACATTTTTATTACAAATGGAATATATCTCATGGCACTCTCCACAGACCACACGTCTGCTCTCCCTTAACCTCAAAAGCTAAAACCATAGTAAAGTGCATGACCACAGTTTCATACTTATTCAAATTCTAGTAAGTTCCGTGGTCTGGTTACACAGTTTCATCACAATGATTTTGTGATTGGTTGTTAATCACAACAGACTTGTCCACATTCTGCAAAGTCTACCAATTGATAATTTCAACAATTTAACAGGTCATCTGACTCTATTACTTTTAAAACAGTTCTTGTCAAGCGTGACTGAGAGTTGCTTAGGGATATATTATTTAGTGAAGAAATGCAATAATAAATTGGGTATGAGGATCTACTTAATTTCTGGATTTCAAATTGGTCCATCTGCAATATTTGCTGCATTGTACCACCAGAGATACATGTTTGATAATTCATATTATTGGATATAGCCTCTCCTTAATTCTTCCATGCAGGAAGAGGTGTTGGAAAGGGCCAAAAGAGCCAAAGAGAAATCAGCACGCGAGGCAATGGAGGCACAGGGGCTTATTCCAAAGTCAGCTGCTGTAAATGCAACAACAGTTACCAATGGTGCTGCATCTAAAGCTTCACCCCCAACCGCCAATGATAGAATTTCTGGAAATTCGTCCTCCTATAATCCCACCACCCCGGGTGCTAGTACGGATCCTGATCCTGCTTGAACAGAATGATACCAAGTATATCTATTTGTGTGTATCTCGTAGTTTCCATATGACACAATAGATTTATAATACCAAATGAACCTCCAGGATGATTTTCAATCTGTTGACGTATTCAATTGGTCGACACCAACTATATAATCCCTTTTAAACCTGTTCCTATTGAACCGATTTCTTCTCCATTCTGATTCAGAAATAATTGTAACTCTCAGCAATACACGTTGAGTGTATACCCCAGAGAGGCTGCCCCAAAAGACAGGAACTAACACTTATGGTTTGGCTGTCGCCAGGAAAAGAATGGGAATAGAGGTCGATTCTCAAAATTATTCATACATGGCTCACATTTTTTTCATCTTTTGTACAATTATATCTTTGTCTTTAACATCTCGTTCTCTCTAGAGAAATGCCTTTGACAACTTTTAAATCTAACACTAGCTTGGTCAAAAGGCCAACAACCAGGTCGCCTGAACTCATGTCTGAAAGTGAGGCTAAAAGTCCAAATCCATAATTCATGAATCACGCCTAATTCAGTCATAAAGTTGCTTGGTTTTTGATGTATGTGTCTTGTTGCTAATGGTCCTTTTACAACAACCAACATCCTGAGCTAACCCACGACCTAACAACATGGTTGAGGATATCTCAAGGGTTTCTGCATCGTCCATAAACTGGTTGGGCATTGCAGAAATAATCTCACAGAAGCATTAGCCTCTAAGAAGTGACAGCATTAAAAGAAAAATTATAATTAAACAACATTTCTCTTATCCTGACATTCTCACCAAAATATAGAGAAAAGAATTACCAACATGACATTTTTTAAGTTATGGTTAATTCTCATCACTCATCAAATTCAATGCCTGACATTGGCAACCCACCAGTAGTTTGACCCTGACCCTTCACATAATCCACACCAAAGTCATAGTCATCATCATCCATAGCACCGTCCACTGAGTTCAATTTATTTTTGGCTTTTTTCCTTCTCTTATTCTCGGCTCTTTTCATCTTTGTGTTAAGTATACCTTCGGCTGCATATAGCTTCTCATTTTGCCTGCTTGTAGCAGATTTTGACTTGGCTTTTTCAGCATCATCTTCTTCAGAAGCCATGGGCTCGTCATTGCCCTCATCAGATATATCTTTTCGGCTTTCATCACCTTGAGTTGATGGCAAGGGTTGGGCATTATCCTGAGGTGCACCAAAATCCAACAAATTTATATAGGCATAACAGAATAAGTTCAAGCTATTCCATCTATTAACATACAAAACTAAAAACTAAAAAACAATTTGGCCACCAGCCACTTTATAACTACTCATATCCACACCAGTATAGGAGTTGGTATCCATTGGGAAAGCAACTGCAACAGCCAACTTGGGGAACTACATAGAATTTAAAACGAGCAATCACAAACCTCTAGCATGGTCTCATCAAAGTTGGGGGTGTGGCTTGGAGGAACTTCAACGGAATGGAAATCATCAGCTGACTTGAGACTTCCAATGAATGAAGATTCTGTGGTGTAAACATCATCAACATTAAACTCTTTTCCAAGTTCTGCGACAATCCTTGCCTCTGAAGGCTCTCCTTGATTTCTTGCGGGGGGCATGGTATAATATGGAATTTTACCTGAATTTGCCAAATAGATAGCATTGTATTAACTTGGTACTGAAATCTATTTCTTCGTAAACAATTAGTTTTTCTTTCAGATTTTCTACCAAAGTTCTAGAGCAAAAATAAGAATAAATAACTTCCAGTGCATACCTTCATTCCAGTCATGCAGAATGATCCTTGCAGCAGCTTCAACATCCACAATACCACCCTTTTTGAGCTTACCCCTTACAGTGGCCACATTCTGAAGGAATTCGTCAACTGAATGAAAGCCTGGGATCTTGTATATTGTCACCAACAGTCTTTCTGGACAAAGCTTGAGAATCTCTTTCACTGTTTTGTCCACAAAGGAGAATTACAAATTAATATTGCTAACTCGAATTTGGCAAGAGAAGTTAAAATATTTCCAATACTTGAGACCAAATAATTTCCAATTCAAGGATTCCTGCCTAAACAAACAATGCACTTGAAATTCCATTAACATGTCAGTACATATATCTCACAGGTCAATCTTAATCTTGTAGGAAAATTTGATGTCGGTGTAATTTGATGTCAGCACATATATTTCAAAGGGCTTCAACCCTTTAATCCATTTGCTTGATCAGCAGGCTCAATTTCTTGCCAGGCTAGGGATCCATTCCATTATATGCCTTTGCACTCATCAAATCATTATCCATTAAATATAGTTGTGAATTAGTCTCTGTAATTACACAATCAACTACAGTGATAATCACTTTTTCAAAGCCCTTTTTAATTAAAGAGGTTTATTGACCAGGTTGAAGCTTGAAAGCTACTGATGCAATCATCACATTAATAATAGGATATAGAAAGTAACATTTAACTTATTTTTGCACCTACAGCGAAAAAAAAAAAAAAACTTAGAAGATATGGAATCTATCAGAAGAGCTCAAGAATCATGAAAATGTCAGGTATATGCATCATGGCATCATGGTCATCATCAGTAAAAAAAAAAATCAGTAAGTCTAGATTGTTAAATTATACAAGCAGCTGAAAAAACTTATAGGAATTTCTGAATATAAGACCTCACCAATGGTTGATTTTGGGTTCAAGTTTTGAGGAAATGTGAATTTTGGGTTACACTTGAAAAGAAGGGAGGAAGATTTCAAGCCTTTTAAGTCTTTAACCTTGTTATAAGTGAGTGTTACTTTTGCTTTCTAAGGCTAGCCATGTATAGTCATGTTCCATAGCTCTGCACCATTGACAATTAACTTTCTTTTCTTAATTTTCAATGGATTCCAGACAAATCACCAGGGCAGCTACCATAAATTTCCTTTTTTTTCTTCCTCCTATGTTCTCTCTTTTCAAGAAAAGTCTCTCCTTTTTCTTTTCTCTTCATTATCACACATCATAGCTACTTTTATTTTATCTTCTTTGACATGAATGCATTAGAAAAGATAAATTTTAAAAGATGCCCTACTTAGATATATACTGAAGGAAGTCTTGATTGCATTTCTTCCCATAAAAGGATAAGAATGGAGTATACTCTCCACCTAAACTACACGTTAATCCCAAAGTTGTCAAGAGTCAATGCAATAAAGCAAGCTGAATCTCCAACTAAGCTTATCTCAACTAAACTATGCTTAATCGCAAATTACCCACACCCAGCTACATTAATGATGAAACACAAAATTCAAATGTTCAATTACCTGGACCAACTGGATCATCCAACTTCTCAATTCTTTTGCAGTTTCGAAGAGCTATTGACGCATCATTCCCTCCAGATCGAAGCATAACAACACCAGGACAGTCCAATAATTTTACATTCTTGTCCAATTGCACTTCTTGCATTGATCTTGTCAACCCTGGAGTTGCTCCAACGTTTACAACATGGCATCTTTTCAAGCTGTTAATTAGGCTACTCTTGCCAACATTAGGCAGGCCAATAACACCAACGGTTATAGACTTTTTTATCTACAAAAACAATTTATGCAAGAGATCAATACTTCCATGAGAACAACACAGATTTAAACTTCCACACAAATTTAAACAGGTGGATAGATCATACAAGCACCAAATAGAGAAGACAGAATTACCACTCAATATCAAAAAACAGAGAAAATTGTACTGCGGTCAGAAAACAGCTACTAAATGTACCTCGTGACTTCTTGAGTAATTTTTCAGCAATTTAATAAGAGTTTCTGCTCCAAGACAGTCACTTGTTTGCAAAAGATTACTAGGCTTTGCTGCCTTTGTAGAAGATTTCCACCCTAAGTTTGATCTCTGCTCTTGAGTGCTGCACTTGAAGGCAACTGCTGGTAACTCTTCCCTAAGATATTTGAGCCACTTTTCAACAGCTTCTCGAGGAACAAGATCTGAAATACAAGTTTTCATTAAAACACTTGAGCAGAAAATGTAAGAACAAAAAAAAGGTAAAAACTGAAAAGCACATAGAAGTAATGTCTTGAGATTTACTGTGGGACATACAAATACATTGAAATGGCAATATTCGGCTAACTACTCAGAGGTTAAAAACTTTGTGACAGTGTTAGGATGTTTAGACATTGCTTATTAAAACTCAAGGTATTCTTTGTACAGAGAAAATAAGGAGGAGATTCGCAGTTGAGATAAAGAAATTACCAATTTTGTTTAAAAGCAATACTAGGTGCTTATCAGGGCCTGATTTCATCACCATCTTTTCCATATCAACACAACGGGTACCAAGAGGATCTCTAGCATCAAGGACTTCCAGAACAACATCTGATGCTTCAATGACTCTAACTAACTCCTTGTAGAAAGCTCTATCTGAGTTATCTGCAAATAAGAAAAATGTCAAAAAATATGAACCATCCACCCACGGTGAATCAATCTCCACCTTTCTATCACCTTACCCCGGGCTTTCACAATTCCAGTAGAATCATCAGTGCCCTTTCCCTCTTCAATAATTTGTTCTTTTTCATCATCCTCCAGTATACCCATCTTCCTCTTTTTTGCCTGAAAATTATAAAGGTCCATTACATCATAGTAAACAGGAGCTAGAATATAAGGTAAAAGCACAACCCAAAAACCCAAACAATAGAAAACCAATAAGGGAAGTTGTCTTTTTTTAGAAAAAAAAAGAAAGAAAAGAAACAATACCCTCTCCTTGCGGGCAGCTTTTTTTTGCTCCAGTTCCTCAAGAGCCCGAGCCCGACGAGCTTCGAGAGCCTTGAGCTCTTGTTCTTTGAAAGGCCAATCATTGGGGATACCAGGGTCTTTCTCAACCTTCCGCTTACGGTTCAATCCCAACTTCTTGGCTTCCTTAGCTTTCTTCCTATGGTGCTCTTTTACTTTTCTTATCACCTTGTACTTTTGCTTCAGTGAAACTCTCTTGCTCTTGCTCTCTGCAAAATCATATAATCAAAATTTTAAAGAAGAGACTTAGAAAATAGGAAATAGGAAGCGGAGAGAATTGGGTTTTGCTTACTTTTACTCTTCTTCACCATTTTTGTCTCGTTTTCACGCTGAGGTCCAAAATTTTGTTGGAAAGCGCAAGCAGGTTTAGGGTTTCGGGAGAAGAAGATTGAAAGACCAAAATCCCTTGGAAGGTCTAAGCAGCGGCCTTTAGCAGGTTAAGGGATGTTGGGAGAAAGACAACCTTGTTTAGGGTTTTTGATGTTACAGGCCATTTGGGTTTTTTTTTTTTTTTAAATGTAATAGAAAAAAGTTTTACTAATTAATTAAGGGTATTAAAGTAATTTTATGAAAACAAAAGCAGATGTGCACAATTAATAAAAAACATAAAAACAGAGGCGGTGCAAGGTGACGGTTATAGTAAGGTCCTCATTAATAATAATAATAATAATAATAATCTTTTAAACGGATTACCAGTTAAATAATATGAATAACTTATAATTTTTTTTTAATTTACGTTAAATATTATTTAATTTTTATCTTTATTTTTATTTTTAAGTTAAAATTTAAAAAGATTATTTTTTTAATATTAATACTATATCTAACTAGTTTAATTAGGTTAAACTCATTATTATCAAATATTTAAATATACTATAACTTAAAGGTAAAAACATAATGACATTTAATAGTAACATTATAATTGTTATATAATTATAAGGAGCATTAACATTTAAAATTAATATATATAAAATGAACATTAACACCAACAATTTTAGAGTTAATTTTCATTATAAATATTTTTATTTTTTATTATAATATATTTACGTTAATATTTATAAATAATTAGTTTTTATTAAAAATAGGTTTAATTTATACATCATGACTGTTATGATAACTCTTAAACTTGGTAGACTTTTAAACTGGGGAATTATTTTCTATTAGTGTTTGGTAGAATTCTTAGTTTGTATTTTGGGGTTTATACTTTATGTTTTGTTTATCATTGTTGGATTTTTCATAAAACAGTTGGAATAAGAAAGTGTACAGCTTTATGCTGCAATTATGCTGCAACTTACTTCTTTTAATGTAATTTCGTTGACCAAGGGGATAACAAAAGTTAGGAATTTATATTTTGATAATTTATTAAATTTTTGTTAAAAATCCAAAATTAAGGTTTAAGAACCGAATTTGATAATGATGAAGACTTAATTTAGTCTTTTAATTTTTAAGTTTTTTTACAAATTCTCCATCTAATAATTTTTGGTTATGTGACAAGATAGAAAGGTAAATATATAATTTTCAGATGGTAGGTATATCATTTCTCAAATTTATATTTGACGTGGCGTTTGTTTTTAAGAGATAAATAAGCTGAAAAAAAAATCAGATCAAACAAATACTAAGTCCAAAACCCTTTTATTTGAATGAAAAGGTAGAAACCCCTAGCCAAATGGACAAGACATCAAGCAAGACCTCAGCCATCCCATGAAACACAAATCACACTTTAGGCCCTGCTTGTATACCAAATAACAAAACTTCCAATATCCTCTAAGAAAAAACATTAAGGATATCAGTTTTTCGCTACACATAATCTTTTGCAAGGCTGTTAGCAATTTGATATTTCTCTCTAAATATGTGATGGATCTTTGCTTGGTTGTCTTTTGACCAACTTAAAGAACTGAACGAGCACATATGCCTATGCTTCAAAAGTTTTAGGTAACATGAATTATTTAGCCAAACCAAGAAAATGAGTTATGAATTATTCCTCTTAAGGTTAATCAAGAGTAGTGGAGTAATTTTATATATATAAATGGAGTTTACTAATAGCTTTTGCTTTTGATTATTCTTGTTGTTGTGATCACATTAACATTATTTGATTTTAATGTCTCTATAGCTATGTAAATATTTATTCATGTAAGAATATAATGTCTTTCTTTGAGTTGTTAAATCTTGCATTCCAATGTTTAAAAGGTCTAAAATACAATTTAGAATGAATTTAAAGGTGTTTTTTCTTGAAGATGAGTTTAGATCATTGCTAGGTGTCAACTTCTTAGTCTAACCAAGCCTTGTAACTTTCGTATTTTAGCTCTAAAAATGTAATTATTTTTATTTTTTTATTCTTGTTTATTGTTCTAAATAAATGTATCTCTATGAAAGTCCTTCATTTAATTTTATACTATTGTGTATAAATTTAGGTTGGGCGAAATGATGCACAAGCTTATATTTCATTATAGTGATGAACAACGAGTTATCAAGGATATTGATGCAGACGAGTGTTCTTTGATAGATTTACTATGTCAAGTCTACAAGCATTCTAAATCTATTAATGTGTCTATTATGGCTGAAAATGAAATTGTGATTGGATGTGATGCTAGTGTTATCGAAATGTTCAAGAAATGGGATGATAGATTTGAAATTCATTTGCATGTCAAGGAAGACCAACTTGGATCTCCATTGGTTGCTGATGTAGGTTCTCTCCTTAAGACTGAAAATGAAGGTGGGGAAAGTGAAGTTGAAGTTACTGAGGGTGGTCATAATAGGATGAGGGAATGTGGAATTATTGTTGTTAACAAAAGTAAATATGTTGAGGGTAAAACACTTGAACAAATGGGTGTCATAGATAGAGTTTTTAATTTTTTTGGTGATGATAATAGGGAAAAAGTTAGAAAACTTAAAGATAAGAAGGCAATATTTGAAATTGACAACAAGGTAATTAAAACTTCAAGCAAAAGTAAGAGGTATCCAAATAGAAGAAAAGATATGAAAACTATTAATAAAGAGGATGATAGGCAAGATAGTGATGTAGGTAGTGATTATTGTGTAGACATGCACAACGAGGTTTATCCATTTTCTAGTGATGATGATGAGGAAGGGATGGATAAGGAAGAAGATGATATTGCTAATAGTTCAGGTGACGGCTAACTTGTTATTGAGGAAAAAGAAAAGGAAGATGGGCTTAATGATGTTGCCTCTGATGATTCTTGTAATGGGTATGAAACAGATGGACACAATGAATTGATTGTGAAGAGGAAAACAAAAACATTTGATAGGACATTGAGGTATCTGATCAAACTGCTTAAGAAACACGATGATGGCAAAATAGTTTTTGACCAGTTCCAAATCTTTGTTGATGTGAAGCATTGCAGATCTGTATTAACGGATTATGGTGCTATCCAAGGATACAATTTTAAAAAAATTAAGAATGATTCTACTAGGGTGACTTATAGATGTAAAGATGAAGGTTGTCCTTGGAGAATTCACGCATTAGTGAGACTTGATGGTAAAACATTTATGATGAAAACACTAATGATCATAAATGCACCAAACCAACTCAAAATCTCAATGCCAATGCAAAATGGATTGCTGAAAAACTTGATCCAATGTTAAAAGTTAAACCTAATATGAGTTTTTCTCTAATGGCTGCAAAAATCAGCATTAACTATGGGGTAATTCCTAATGAGAAACAGTTACATGGGGCAAGGATAAGAGCACGAGATTTGAATGAACTGTGGAAAGATCCTTGTGCCACTGTGCATAGAAAGATGGAAGATAGAGTTGACACAAACGTGGACCCATAGGCGTTTAAAAGACTCTTTTGTGTTACTTGGCTCAAAAGAAAAGGTTCACTGATAGGTGTAGGCCATTCTTAGGCTGACAGATGTTCCTTGAAAAGATCATTTAAAGGTGTTTTATTATAGTATCACTTAATAGAAATAATGGTATATACTGAATTGCTATAACAATTGTAGATGTTGAATCTATTGCAAGCTAAAGGTTTTTTCTTTACTATTTGCATCAGTGCATTGGAAGGAGCACAAAGGAGTTTCCATATACTTTCATGTCAGATAGACATGTGGTCTATTACTTATTTAAAACTTTTTATTTGCTTTAATTTCATAAAAATATAATTTATACAACCTTGCAATACAAAGTAAAAGTAATAACTTTTTTTATTAGCTTTATTGTTCATAACGCACTAAATTAATGCAAAACCTTTTATTTCTAATATAATCATATTTATTTAATAGGGAATAATAGAAGCTATGAGAATCCAATTTCCAGATGCAAGTTACAAGTTCTGTTATAGGCATTTGTATGGTAATTTCAATAAGGACTATCTAGGTTTACAATTAAGGTTTGACTTTTGGAATGCTTGCAAAGTTTCAAATGGAAAAGATTTCAAGAATGTCATGGACCAACTGCACTCAACTAATGAAGATGCATGTAAGTGGTTAAAAGCTTTACCGTTATCAAAATGGTGTACATTAGGCTTTGATGATACATTAAAGAGTGATTAGCTAACTAACAATTTCACTGAGTTCTTTAACCAATGGTTGTCATTGATTAACAGAAAACTAATTGTTCCTTTGCTTGAGTCTATTAGATTAAAATTAATGAGTACGATGAGTGAGAGGTATGCTCAAGGTTATTCATGGGAAGGTAGGATTATGCTTAAAATATAGAGAAATTAAACAAGAAGGTGTTGCAAGCAAGAGATCATAAAGTTATACCTGCAAGCACAGATCAATTTCAAGTTCTTGTTGGTTTGGTAAAGCAAGTTGTGGACTTGGAGAGATAGAAATGCACTTGCAACATGTGGCAACTAACTGGTTTACCATGTTGCCATAAAATTGCTAATTTTGAAGATTATTGTCATTTTTGTTGGACAAAGAAGGTATATTTGAAGGTTTATAAGCACATGATCCCACCATTGCTTGAGAAAGATTTAACCTCAAATGAGGAAAAAGACGCCATTCAACCCCCAATTATTAAAAAGAAAAAAAAAACCACAAAAAAAAACAAAAGAAGAGAAGTTGGTGAAGATCCACCAAGAAGGAGAGCAACCACAGTTTTATGCCGTATTTGTCATCAACCTCGACATAATAAAAAGGTCATGCAAAGCAACTTGGACTCCTAGAACTTCTAATCCTTCACAAGTATATACAAATATGAATATATGTTAACTATAAAATTTTATGGAACATACATTAGTTTGTAAATTATTATTATATTCTTATAATGCATTTGGATGCAGAGAAAAGGAAACTTGACAAAAGAGAAAAGTGGATTTGATGCTGGAAATGATTTTGTTTTAGCTTGTTGTTTTGTTTCCTCTATTTTTTATTATGGTTTTAGGGTTGGTGGAGCTGAAGTTGGATCAAGTATGGTTTTGGACACTCAACAAAGCTGCAACAAAAATTAAAAATATAGCTGATGAAGTAAATTTATGATAGTTAATTCCTTTTTTACTTGGCTACTGGCATTTTTTGTCTAA